GCTGGATAAAGCACCTTTTCAATAAATATGCTGTGGATTTTGGCTCATGCTTTCTGGTAAGAAAATTGGCTAAGCTTAGACCTTTGTGGCTGTAGAAGAAGATGTAGCTGTGGTGTGTTGCCCTAAGAGCTGCTGATTGTGTTTGTGTCTCAGTTAGCTGTGGCTCACCTTGAAGGCTTGCTCACGTTCTCAGGTTCTGTTTGAGACTCTCTGGACTAGCTGATAAATTGAATTACTTGAGTTGCTGCCTTCCCTTGGATGTACACATCCACAAGGACACCTGGATGGCTGCAGGAATGCAGGACGTGGTGGGGTGGGTGCACAACTACAGCACCAGAGCCAATCTAAACCTTCCTTGGCTCAACTTGAGGCTGCAGTTGCATTTCAGTGTTACATAATGCTTCACAAACTTGTTACAAGTCTGTTTTGTTGATTATGTTGTTTTTTTCAGTGTGAGTCAGACAGTCAGTCATGGTTAGCTTGTGTGGAAAAGCAATTGCAGGAGAAAGGTTTTTATTTTCCCATTCTAAAACCCCAGCTTTTAAGGTCCCCCACTTAACAAATGATTACTTTCTCATGCCTTTTAAATTCATTAGGGACCAAAATTAAACAAACTGAAGCATTAAGTTATTTACTTTATCACTGTTGCTAACTACATCACAGAAATCATGAGTAATACCAAAAGCCTTTGGACCCAAGGTTTGCCAGCTGATTTCTGCATTGTTCCAGAGTTCAGAGCTCAGTTGTCTTGCTCCAAACTTCTTTTCCTTACATTGAGGGTGGCATTGCTGCAGATTTATTACTCCACAGGAGAGCCTGAGTTCAGCCCTTCTGGGAGGGTGTCAGGGGTAGCATGAGGGAATTCTCAGCTGCCAGGGAAAGCAGCCTGGCTCCAGCTGCCCTGGCCCTGGCCCTGCTCTGTGCAGGGTGGGAGCAGTGCCTGCTCTCAGGGACAGGAGTGCTGCCTTTGCAGCCCCAAGGTGAGGGACTCTGCACTGGTTTGGGGTCCTGTAACAATATTGGATTCTCTGCTATGGACATAATTGTTATTGTTAGGTTGGACGTGACCTATGCACATGATTAGGGTCCAAGAAGAAAAAAGCTTTTTATTCTGCTTGTTCTCCAGCTTATATACTCTTAACAAAGTGTGATCTTAAGTCACTAACTACATCACAATAATTTATTCTTTTCATTGGTGCAAAGCAATCAGCATCAATGTAATTGGCAAAAGTTTAACAGAAATTTAATAAGGCACATATACACACCCACTTAAGCACGTAGTCTAGCTTACAGAAATTTTCATGTATCTTTTCTAATCTGTTTCCATGCTGATGGCCTTGTCTTCTTCCTTGCTATGGATGCACTTAAAAATTATGAATTATTTCTTCTATTAACTCAGCTTTCCATGCAGGCCAGCTGTCAAGCCTCTCCATACATAATGAAGCAAATTCCAGCTACATTGAACTCCAGAAGAGTGTGGTCTTGGTTTAAAGGAAGCTATAAATTTTCTTTGTGTTCACTTGTTATTTTTCCTGGACACTCTTTCTAGTTTAGAGGTATAAGAGAACTTCAGAAGGGCAACCTGGAGAACTTCAAAAGGGCAACCTGGTGTTGTACAGTACCACACTGTGCTATTGAAGTTACAGCCTAGAAATATTTTTTTTTAAAAATTAAAAAAGAGAAGTAAAAGCATCATTTCACACTGAGTAATAAAATTATATTGTTCTGGCTTGAAGGAATTGTGCTGCCTCAGCAATGTAAAACTCACATTGACATAGTAACCTGTGCTGTGTATCAGCCCTAACAGATTTCTGTAAACCTCACCTAAATGGGAACGAATTGGATTGTTTCTCTTTCTTTATAAAACATACTGAACATTACCTAGCTTTAATGTGTTTTTGCTGGTCTTAAATGCAGCTCTGTTTCAGATGGTGGCAAAAACTTAAATATGTGGGAGTAGGACTGTAATTGTTTCCCATTTTTATTCAGTGGTGTACTGTACTGTTCCATACTAGTTAGTGTGTGTGTGAGGAATAAGGTTGTTCTGTGTATCATACAGGTAGCAAAAGCTTCAGCACTCTGAGAACTTTAATGTAGGTAGTCTAGGGATGTGTTCTGAAAAATCACATTCCTTCCCTCACTAAGAGCACAGGCTGTTCCATCATTTTCTTCTAATTTTTCTTTGCAAGGTGGGAACCATCTTAGATATCTGTAACAGTGGTGGCTGCCCTAGCACATGCCTGTGTGTGCTCTGCGAGTGTGGTTTCACATAGGTATGAGCCTTCTGGAGTGTTTGGCACTGTTTTCTGTCACATTTTTAAGGTAATGTTGGGTCCTCAGGTGATCTGTTGTCCTTCTAGAGGTTATTTTCCTTGTAATTCATCTTCTTTATTGTTTGTGTACAACACCTAAAATATTACTCCTCCTGTAAAATGTACTGCTATTTCTACTGCAGGGAAAAAAAACCAGCACAAAATCATGTTCTACACCAGAAACTACACCAGAAATGAGTGTGTGATGCTGTCCCAGTCCTGCTAGCAATGGACACTCTCTGGGCAGCATTTCTTTTTTTTCTTTTTTTCTTTTTTCCTTCTCTCTTTTTCTCTCTCTCTCTTTCTCTTTCTCTCTCTTTCTGTCTCTTTCTCTCATTCTCTCTCTCTCTCTCTTTCTCTCTCTCTTTCTCTCTTTCTTTCTCTCTCTCTTTCTCTCTTTCTTTCTCTCTCTCTTTCTCTCTCTCTTTCTCTCTCTCTTTCTCTCTCTTTCTCTCTCTTTCTCTCTCTCTTTCTCTCTCTTTCTCTCTCTCTTTCTCTCTCTCTTTCTCTCTTTCTCTCTCTCTTTGTCTCTCTCTTTCTCTCTCTCTTTCTCTCTCTCTCTCTCTCTCTTTCTCTCTTTCTCTCTTTCTCTCTCTCTTTTTCTTCTTGCTTTTGCAGGCCTGCCTTGTCCCAGAGGAGAGCAGCCCCTG